TCTGGTAACTGTAGAAGAGGCTGATGACAGTAGGGTTGGAGAGCTATAGTGTGCAGGAATAACACATAGGTAGCAGCGACAGGATCTGGCGATGAAAGAAAGGGAGGAATCAAACAGGATGCCGTGCATCCGGCTTCAGAGAGAAAATGTCGCTGTTGTCAGGCGCCAGGCAGTTGGTTCTGACTCAGTGACCCTCTGGACAGCAGAACAAAACACTGCCCAGTCCTGCGCAGCCACTGTGCTACCACATCTCCCAGAGGGCCTTCCTCCACCTTCCCAAGCATGATGTCCTTTTCCAGGGACTGGTCCCTCGTGATGCCATGTCCAAAGTGCGTGAGATGAAGCCATGCCATCCTTGCTTCAAAGGAGCATCCTGACCATACTTCTCATAAGACAGCTTTGTTTGTTCTTCTGGCAGTCTGTGGTACGTCCAATATTCTTTGCCAGCAACATAGAGAAAGATCCACCAAGTACCCTCTTCCCTCTCTTTTTCCTCCTTACCCAGACCATACCGGCAGCACCTAGCCTTCCTTCCCAGACAGGGACAAAGGTCCCTTTTACATGTGTATCAGATTCTGAATCCTCTCTCTTCGATCTTTCCATCTTCTCTGATTTGTATTTTATTTAAGTTTTTTTTTTAATTTAAGTTTTATTGGCCCTTCATCCACATGTCAGTCTTGTCTTATACCTCATCTCTGTTAAAGTAAATACAAAATCTTTCCTTCATTACCTATCCCTTAAGCTTCCACACTTTCTTATTTTTTCAGTCCCAAATTCCCCCAATGACTCCCTCTGGCCTAATGGACTGGGTCTCAACTCAGTGCAGCATACAAGGCCTTTAAAATTTGGCCCCAATCTCACCTCATCTGTCACTTCCATATTGTAACAAACCTCAACTTTTCAGTTCCCTGGGCCTTTTCAGAGACCTCTGCCATTGGAACCAACCAACCTTCTTTTTGTTCCCCTTTGGCAAATCCCCAGAGACAATCAACTATGGGCTCTCGGCTCTGTGGTCCTATCTAGAATACAGTACCCCTTCTTCAGCAATGTTATTACAACCCAATCGCTTTTCTTCCACTAGCATGTGAGTTCCTCAAGGACAGGGGGCAGTCTTCCCTATCTTTGTGTCTCCAGAGTCTGACATAATACCTTGCACAAAGTAGGTGCTTAATAAATGCTGGCTGGGTGAATGAGTGCAGACATCAGTCAGCCTGTTTAGATGATTCTATCTGAACACCCATGATATGTAGGCCCATAAAATAACCAACTTACCAAATCTGCCATTTGCACAGTAGCAGCATCTCCATCCAGGAGAGCCCGTGCAGAGTCTATGAGGCATTTTACAGCGATGCCAGGAAATAGCAAAGTCAGCAGCAGTGTCATCTTTGGACATTAAAGGACAGGGATTCAGGGCCATGAATGGTCAGTTAAACTGTAATTGGAGTGAACTGTTCCTCTACAGACCATCATGTTCTTTAGCTGCAGCCAAATGGCATTCAAGAAGAGAACATTTTTCGAAATGTTGAAGAAATCATTTCCAATTTGGTGCTCACAACCAGAGACTCTAATGATCAGTGGAAATGAGAAGCAAACAAATTAGCACTAATGGAAAATTGCTTTTGGAAAAGAGAATTTAATTTATGGTCAACTGATCATGGCATGCAGCAGCATGCAGTAAAAGGCAGATTCACCAGCTTGATCATAAGAAGTGGAGCACACATGGAAAGCCAGAGGAAAAATATACGGGTGCCATCATGCTTATTGGAGTCGCTCTGTAAGTGGCAGACAATTAAAATAGTAATTATTTTACCTTGGAGGGAAAGTGATCAAAAAAAAATCAAAGCACACAAAATTAAAATCTGGATTAGGAACCTTTGTCCAAATTGGTGTGTGGGTGGCCTTCTCACCTTGGCAAGGTCTTCTGCAAGGGAGAGAAACCTACTTTGTCTTCAGCCCAGAGTAGACTCTTGGATTTTAATTTCCTCTCTCTCTTCAGAGGTGATTAAAAATCTGGATTCATTCATAAATCACTTCTGTAGTAGCCAAATGGGTCTTCATACAAGGAAACTAAAATCACCAAATCTGAGACCTCACCTTCCATCTAAGGCAAAGGCCTTTGGTAACAAGAAGAGGTATTAAAAACCAAGAGGCCAATAGGTCTTGTTTCTAAATAAAATTCCCTGAGGGTTTTTTTCTTTTCCTGTTTGTAAAAAGTGAATTGAATGATACATTTCTAAAGCAAAAAGCCTCCAAGGCATGTACTGCCAGTTCTGGCTCACTGTCCCCAAATGACCTTGGGGACAATAAGGCTGTCACTGTCTTCCTGTTTCTGCAGGTTCCACTTATAAAGTGGGTCAGAGGCCTTTTCCTTGGGCTCCCACTCCAAACCTCTCATTGTGAGCTCCCACTCTTTCATTAAGTCACCCCCACATACACACGTGTGCATGTGCACACAAGCACATGCACACACATTTCCTCCACAGCGAAATCGGGTGCCCTTGGCTTCACTTCCATCTCAGAGGCATGTACACTCCAGTTCAACGCTTCCTTCTGAGAGCCTCTTCCTCTGCCCACTCACCCTGCTCAGGCCAGCCACTGCTTCCCTATAGGAGCCGTCCATCTGCCCCTATCTTTCCCCACACCCTTCCTTTCCTTCCATCCTCTCTTCATTGACTTCTTTCCCCCATCTCCTCCCTGCAGAACCCTCATCCTTTATCCTTTCCCCCACCCTCTCTGTATTCACAGACCCCGTTTTTCCTCTCTCCACCTATCCATCTACCTCCACAAATCCTGACTGCCGGTCAACCATGCAGGTGACTGGCACTCTCCTTACCTCTGTGGTGTTCCGTGCTTCATCTTCCCTCACCTAACTTTCTGCCCTTTCTTCCCTTCCCAACCCTCTCAATGTGCTGTCAAAAACCCTTGTTTGTGCTTAGCAGAGTTTTCCCACCCTCACCATCCCCACAGTCACGTTGTTCATCTCAGCTGGCTCTTCCCCATATAGTCCTCCCTTATGAAGGGTGCTCACACTCTTACACCCAAAGGATCGCAGGGTTGGGATGGATACCAAAGTCCAAACGAGTTCCTTATTCGACTTCCTTCTTGTAAAAATGCTTGCTATTTTGCAGTTAGGCTATATTGCCAATAGCTATATTTGCTACTTTGCTATTAGGCTAGATTGACCTTTGCTCTTCCTCATGCTATTGTTTACAGATTCTAGAACAAAATGCTTTATCCATCAAGGACTTTAGTACCCAGGTCCAGGTCCCCCAAAACACCAAAGCTCACTCCCTGCCATCAAGTTGGTGCTGAGTCATAGTGATTCTCTAGGACAGGATAGACTGCCCCTGTGAGTTTCTGCGACGAACTCAGTCTCCCACATTTAGATCTCCAGTTTAGATTTCTCCTGTGAGAAGATGCAAAGAAAACAGAACCAAACTCACTGCCATCGAGTCGATTAACACACAGTGATCCTAGGACAGCATACAACTGTCCCTGTGAGTTTCCAAGACTGTAACTCTTTACCAGTAGAAAGCCTCATCTTTCTCCCACAGAGGGGTTGATGGTTTCAAACTGCTGCCCTTGAGGTTGTATCCAATGCATAGTCCACTACACCACCAGGGTTCCTGTGAAGACCCCAGCCAGCTATATCTAACTGATTTCAGGACACCTCTACTTGAATGTACCATTGGCATTTCAAATTTATCATTCTCAGACTAGAACTGATCCATTCCTAGACACTAGTTTCTTCTTTGTTCTGTTTGCCCAAGCCAAAAATCTAGAACTCATCCTCCATTTCTTCCACATCCCATCAGTTACTTGGTGCAGCATTTTGCAGCTTGTGAGTGTCTAAGAAATCCATCTTCTTCCCTTAATTCCTGATGCCACTCCATCCTTTATCCATTGCCAGCAAGTGGATTCTACTTTACAGTCACCCTACTGGGCAGAGTAGAACTGCCCTATAGATCTCCCAAGGCTATAATCTTTATGGTAGCAGGCTGCCATGTCTTTTTCCTGTTCTGCAACGTATGATTAACATCCGAGTGCTTAACCATTGTGCCACCAGGGGGCCTCTCCATGCCTTAGGCCACTGTAATCCGTCATCATACGGCAACAACATCCTAACTGGTCTTCCTTTGCCCAGTCTATTCTCTGCAACCATCTTCCTAAAACAAAAACTGGATCATTACTCGCCCAATTAAAGCCCTGCAATGACTTCCTACTGACCTCAGGAGAGTCTAATTTCTAGGCTCATAAAATGGATTAGAATTTTTTTTTTTTTTAATCATGAGTAAGATCTACTGCCTTACAAGCCCAAAGCTCAGTTTGGCATCAATGACTCTTCAAGATCTGGGCCTAACTCTTCTTACCAAGATTGTGATCTTTCCACGAGTTTCTTCTCTGCTCAGGAGATGCCTGTGTATTCTGGCACTCATTCCTCACTTTCCCCCTCTTTGCACTCCCTAAAGGGGGTCTTTTCCTTTCCAATCTGCATCTCTTCCAAGGCCTAGCCTCAAAGTCCTCCGGCTGCCATGACTACCCCATTCCCTCGGTTCCTAAAATCCCAAGGGCCTACTCTTGTAATAGTTATCCTCGGTGCAGAAGTACAGCTGGTTCGTGCATGGCAGCTTTCCTCCCTGTTAAACCTCACTGCCATACAGTCGACTCGGACTCAGAGTGAGGACGGAGTAGAACTGTTCTTCTGTGAAGACTTATGGAAATCAGGCCAAATGCTTAAGTCTTCATTTCGAATCTAAGGACTCTTGTTTAGTTCCGTGTCTGGTACATCATCCCCCAAAGCAGAGAGATATTTACCGGGCACCTAGTATATATATACCAGGCACACACCCCAGCAACCACCCAGGGAAACGCAGGAAAGCTGCTCTAAGTTCTTTTCCCCTCACCCCACACCCTGGCCACCCGTCGCCCTCCACTCCGCCCCAACCGAAAGGGAGGAGGCGCCGGCACGAGCGTCCCTGCCGCTGTGTTCGTTTTTCTACCTCCGGCCCTCGGAGCTGATGGAGCCAGAACACTTAATTCAAATGGTATCGCCGTCCACGCTGCAGGATAAAGCGCCGCCGACCAGACGAGAGACTCGCCCAGTTACCAGAACACAGCAACTCCCTGAGACCCTCGTACCTACACAGGGGGCTGGGGACTCTACGTGACCGGCGTCCAGGCTGACCAATCCCTGGTCCAGGTCAAGCGAGTCAGCCAATGGCGGCAGGCCAGGGGCTGAGCGCGGGCGGGGCATGCATGCGGGGCGACTCGGTGGTTGCTAGGGCGGGAGGTCACAGAGCGCGGCTCGCGGATTGGGCGGTGTCGGAGAAGAGTGGGCAGCGATTGGGCCGCGCCAGGGGCGGTGGCCGGGGGAGGCGCGGCCGCGCGAGCGGGAGTTCCGGCAGGAGGCCTGTGCTGAGGGCCAGCCCTTCACCATGGCCTCCGCTGAACTGGACTACACCATCGAGATCCCGGATCAGCCCTGCCGGAGCCGGGGTATGGAACGAGGGTTGGGCCCAGACCGGGGGAGGTGGCCTAACGAGTCGGTGGGTCGCGAATGTCGCGGAGGCCCCGCCCCGCGGCCCCGCCCTCTCCCGGCCCGCCCCCTCATAGGGTCCCAGGGTTCTAGAGTCCGCCCGACTTCGTAAGCCACGCCCCTCTGAAGGCTCCGCCCCCGGAACGCTCCCGGATTCTGACTTCAGTCACTGTGCTGGAATCAGCTGCTCAGTTGGGTCCAGTTTTGGTGCTTTCAGTGCAGTGTTCTCGGGGGGTCCCTCATGATTCCTTCGTCTGGGGTTGAGGGATCTGGGTCCCACCAGGTACTTTTCCCGAAGGAACTGAGGGCCTCTTGTGGGTCAAGACCCAGACCTTAGCCTTCCCTCCTCCACTCTCCTTGACAGTGATTAAAGAATAGTCTGGCAAGGCAGGTAGAACTCGGTTCGAACCCAGACTTCTCTTCAGTAGCTCGATGACCTTGGCCTTTAGCAAGCTGCTCGCTCTCAACTAAAGCAGCGTCATCCGCAGAAGGAAGAGAATCTATTAGGCGTCACAGCGGGCACACCTGACCTTATTTTGTGTACCATGCCTCGCATAGGGTCTGTCATGAGATGAGTTCAGTAATAGCTATTTAGATTAGTGTGGTTTTTGCCCCATCGTTTTAGCATTAAAGAAACGTGTGGGAGACCCCCGCAAAATTGTTAGTTGCTGTAGTCCTGTCCCGGCCCCGGCCCCAGGCCACTTATGTGTACACGGCAGAATGTAGGCCCTGCACAGTCTTTGGGTGTGTTTGAGCCCATTGTTGCAGCTGCGCATGTGTCAGTCTGGTTGAGGGTTACTCTTGATTTTGGTCACTTTCTACCAAACCTGCTGGCCTCTTCTACTATTGTTTTTTCTGATGACTCATTCAAGGTTCCACCAGCCTAACTTCTAAACAGCCTTCTGGCTGTCCTTTGAACGTTCACCGGCAGCCTGAGGGGTTTATTCATTTACACTTCAGTCCAACCATGTCAGATCTTTGATTTTCTGTGTTCCTTGTCCAGCTTTTACAAGCCTATGAGGCTATTGAAAATGCCAGCACTTGGGTTAGGTGCCCCTTAGTCGTCAAAGTGATGGTTGTTGTTTTTACACTTTAAAGAAAAGGCAGATTTCCTCACTGCCATGAAACTAAAGCACCCACTGCTGTGGAGTCCAGTCTGACTCAGACCATCCCTAAAGGACAGTGAACTGCCCCATAGCGCTTCCAGGGCAGACTGACACAGCTTTCTCCACAGAGCAGCTGGTAGGTTGGAACCATCAGCCTTTCTGCACCACCTCAGTGTCGTATGCCCCTCAAAACTAGTAGCCTTTAAGCCAGGCCAGGGGTCCTGGCAGTGTGACTGGATTTGGGGGCTACGGGCCGGTATGGTTGGCCTGTCTGGGGATTATGGCGAGGAGCCTGTGCAACACTGAATTCTTCCCCCAGCGTCTCTCCCAGCATTGCTTCACCTCGCCTTCATGGTTCCAGCCTCACTGCCAGCACTCAGCCTCTTACAGTCTACACATATTGGGTTTCCTCCTATACTACAGGCCCTTCTTATGGAGTCCCGGTGGTGTAGTGGTTACACATTGGGCTGTGATCTGTGTGGTAGGCGGTTCAAAACCACCAGCATCTATCTCCGAAGGAGAAAGACTGGGCTTTCTACTCCCGGAAACAGTCTTGGAAACCCACAGGGGGTCCCTATAAGTCACCATTGACTGGATGGCAGTGAGTACAAGGACCTTCTTAGTGCAAAGATGTGATCTTTCACAACCCTTCCTAGAACCCTTCAGGATAAAGAGCAGATTTATCCTCAGGATAAAGTGCAGATTCCTTCACCTGTGGCACTCAAAGTCTTTCATCATTTGGCAGCCCCTGCTTGCTGCTTTGATCACCATGCCCTTTTACTGTTTAATTTTATGTTCTGGGCATCCCAGTCGACTTGTGACTTTCCACACGTCTTGCGTCTTCTACCCGAAATGCCCTTCCCCTGCTGCTCCCTGACACTGACCCCTGGTTTGCCCAGCTCATTCTCCTGCAGAGTGTCCCGCCCCCTTCCTCAGCAGTTGTGACCCTTGGTTGGGGCCTCAGAGGGAAGGACTGCTCCTAGGCTTCAGGAAACTCAACAGCTTGGCTCCAGCCCAGCTGTTTTTCCCTAGAACTGGATCTCTTGGCTTATGCCTTTGGGGCTTATGGAAAGTTTTGAGAGGTGAGGTCAAAACTTACCATTGTCCTTGTAGAATCTTCAGCAGCAGTAGTCTGGAGCAGCCTCCTGGGTGCAAGGCCTGGAGGGCAGTTCTCTCAGTCCAGAAGGGCAGCCTGGTGGTCCTTGGCTCAGGCAGGCGCTACCTCTTCCTAGCTCACTGGCTCTGGCAAGTGAGTGAACCTCTCTGAGCCTCACATTCCTCTGCTGTACGGTGAGTAGGTTGGGTCTTGGAATCAGAAGAAATCCCCGGGGGTAATTTTATCCCGCATCCCTGTGCCAGCCTGAGGACATTCATAACTGCCAGACCCTTCCCTGACAGGATGTGCCCCTCCAGTTGTCCTGGCCTGGCGGAGGCACCTGGAATTGTTAGAAAGTGCTTCCCTTTCTTGAGCCACCATAGACGTTGCTGTCGTTTCCTGTTTCGGTGAGGCATTTGGGTCCTGGCCGGGGGCTAGTTGCTGATGCCCACGCAGGGATAACACACAGACTCCCTGCACGGACCTGTGGGCTTATGGTGGTGGTGTTATAAGCAGGTTCAAAGTGATGTGGAGACTACAGAGCCAGAGATTTGTCTAAGTGCAACCCCGAGCGAGGCGGTCTCTATTCAGGACGCCTTCATGCCTTCTGCGAATCTCTTCTCTTAGGGCCATACCTCGGGCTCCCCAGCTGTTTGTCTTCTGATGGGATTCGTATAGTGCTCCTCCTCCTGACCGGCCCTCTGGCCTTGCTGTAGTTCTTCATGCCCCAGAGCTGAGCCCGAGTCTGTAGGGCCCCCCAGAAGAAGGTCATGCCCTGTGACCCCCTCAGTCCATTTGCTTCCCATCTGCAGCGAGCACCCATCCAGGCTAACCTGGTTTCACAGAGCGACAGTCCGTAGGGCCCGTTCAGTCACTGGTCCACCGTGGAGAAGCGTGGAGGAGGGGCAGTGAACAGAGAGGAATCGACCCAGTGGCTGCAACAGTGGGCTCAGATTTGAGTACCGTGGTGAGGCCTCGTTGTGTTCTGTTGCTCCTATGATGGCTGTGAGGCAGAGCCGAGTCCCTGGCACCTAACCACAGCAGCAGCATGCAGGATGTTCTTATCAGGTGTCTCCCACATTTGACTATCTCGACCCCACAATAAAGCACCGGGCTGGACGTTGACAGAGAAGTGAGCAGCTGCTACTGGTATGTCACTTAGTGGGAAGACAACTACACTGTGGGGTCACTCAGTTCTGGGTTTAGTGGGGCAGAGCAGGCAGCCCAGGATCCTCCTGGAGAGGACCCCACTGAGAGGTCAACACAGACACAGAATGGGGATAGGATTGAGACAACGTGAGGTTAAAAGCGGCTTTATTAGGGGAGGGAAAGAGCTCCCGGGAGGGAAGGGAGAGCAGAGAAAGGGACAGGGGCATCTTGAGCTCCTGGGCGGTATTGAGACCCAACTCGTTGGGTCAGGGAAATCGGGACAGGGGCTGCACAACCTTGGTCTGGAGAGATAAGCGCTCCTTGGATAGTTGGGGCAGAAGATGCATACTTCAATAGGTCATTTATCTTCCCGAGAGGCTGGAAATGGGGGCCTGGAAGTTCTGTCCTCCTGAGGAGCTGAAGAGGAGATGGGGGCTGCCTAGTCCGGACCCAGCCCAAACACCCACTAGCCCAAATCTGTGGATGTGCAGGTCGAGGGGAAGTCTGTCTGGCTTTCCAGGAAGCTCCCTCCCCCGCCCCCTCCTCCTCCCCCTCCTGCCCCTGGGGAATCCTACCCCATCACACATATTCTTCTTGGACCGTGACTTCCCCCACACTCGAAGGGCACTCCCACAATTCTGTTACCCTGTAGGTATGTGCTTTTGAGGGCTGTGCTCACCATTGCTGGGGCTTGGCAGGGCTGAAGGATTGCGTTCATCTGCTGAGCTAAGTGGGACCACTCTGCAGCCCTGTAGGCTGAGAGTGGCCTGACATCCCAGTCTGCCCTGCCCCTCCTTCTGGGCTGAGATGATCAGCCAAGTCCCGCCCAGGTCCCTCTGCAGCTTCTTGGCAGGCCAGCTTGCCTTCTTAAAGGCACCATGTTGCTCTCAGGCTCCGTAAACATTTCCAAAAACCGTTCGCAGAATCAGCGAGGATGAGGCCCTGGGACTGGGGCAGGTGGCTTGCTCTGAGTGAAAAGAAGCCCATAAGGGGTCACGGAGAGGGGAAGTGCCTGGTTTTAGTTCCTCAGCTGTAGGGTGAGCCTGCCCTGTTGCTAAGCACCGACTGAGGTCAAAGAAAGGTAGATAATCCTCTTAACCCTTGGGAAGTTTGCACAGTAGTTGGGGAGCAGGCTTGGGTGGTCCAGACCAAGCTGTGGGCTGGACCTGAAACGCTGCAGGACTGATGAGAGGATGAGCAGCAGAGGGTGCAGAATGGCCTTAGGGACACGGCCTGAGGAGAGGCTTTGGGGAGCGAGAAATGAATGACCACCTCAAGAACTACTATGCCGGAGTCCCCAGACATACTTAAAAAAATTCCAAATGTAAACAGAAGACGGTTGTCTATTTTAAACCATGGTTTCTTTCTTTCATCCCTGCTAACCCTTCTCGAGTGTCCTCTTGGTGTCAGGCCCTGCTTTCGGGGGTGGGGAACAAAACCACCCACCGCCACTGAGTCAATTCTGACTTCTAGTGACCCTGTCAGATGGAGTAGAACTGCCCCTGTGGGCTTCCAAGACTGTAACTCTCTACTGGAGTGGAAAGCTCATCGTTGACCCTCGGAGGCTCTGGTGGTTTTGAACTGCTGACCTTGCTATTAACCCACTATG